CTTGCAGAAGCCGATAAAGTTGCAAAAGAAACCAAACTGATAGACAAATTTGATCTTCAAAAGCGGGTAGAAGATGACATAAGTGTATGTTAATTTATCACTGCTTATTTTAAATGTTAGTAAAACTTTAAAAAGGTATTCAACAAAATAATGTTGATTGATTTTCTTTGGATGTATTTTCTTATATATATATATATATATATATATATATATATATATATATATATATATATATATATATATATATATATATATATATATATATATATATATATATATATATATATATATATATATATATATATATATATATATATATATATATATATATATATATATATATATATATATAGCGTATTACTATTTTTAAATATTTTTTGATATAATAATATATTAACGATATTTTCTCTGTCGATATGTCAGCCTCATCAGATAATAATAAAAAATAAAGTTACAAAATAACATAAAACAAACCATTTAAAAAGAAGACATTAAAAAGCGTCAAATATAAAAACCAATTAAATAATATAATAATGACATCAGTTAAATTTTTGTCAAATTAGGTTCCCAAGTTCTTGTTTTAACCTTATCCGTGTCATCTAAATTTAGGACACCTACCAATACCTATCTCATATCAAACTCTTGCTTTGTTAATCTCCAAGAATTCTCTAATTTTTCTTATCCTGTATTCTGGAATGACTGCCAATCAAAGTTATTATGGCATGTTCTAGAATATTCTGTGGCTCCTGAACTCTACCATTTTTCAGCAAATTTCTTCAGTTAACTAAACTTTTTGCATGAAAAATAAAGAAATCAAATTAACTTGAGTAAATTTTTCAAGGCATCATTCCATATAAAACATAAATAACAGTAGTCCAATATTTTTTTTATTTTTTGTTGCATGTAGATCTGAATAGAATTGGTTATTATCAGACATAAAATAATGCTATAAAAAACTTTTACAGAAAAAACCATCATAAATTATTGTTAAAAAAATAATAATTTATGATGGTTTTCAACAATTATTGTTAATTATTGCTATTTCACTCACGGCCATAGGGCAACAATTATTGCTATTTCACTCACGGCCATAGGGCTATGTCCTCTCTACCCCCACCTTACTACTATTCAAGGTAATATTTTTATTAAAAACAATAAAACATCAACAATAGAAAAAGTGCACAAAAACATTACATTTGCTGCTGGTCTTTTTGTACTAAAAGCAGCTAGAATAAGAATAAAAGCTCAAATAAAGTCTCTCACTCATCCAAAAAAACTTGTTACAAAGAAAAGTATTAGTTTATGTTATATAATTTGAAAGCACATTTGAAGCTCTTAGTGTGCAAGTTATTATAATTTATTTGGAATTAATAATACCCTGTAGGATATTATTTTCAAAACAAGTTTGAAAAGAAATAAAAAAATCATGAAATCTATTTAAGTTAAAGCAAACATAAATTTTTTAAAATATTCACAAAAATTAAAAGAACTTTTTTTATTATTTTTTATTTCGATATTTGCCTTTGGAATTTACTTTTACTTCGGAAAATTATGAATTTTCGAATGATTTTTTTTGGGGGAAGGAGGTATAGCCTGAAAAAGTCCTAGAATTTTGCAACCAAATATCCTTAAAAAAAAGAAAAATGGTCCTAGAAAGTCTTTGAATTTTGATTTTATCTTTCTGTGGGAACCCTTGTAATGTTGTAAATATTTATCCTGAAGGTATAAATAATGACACTACAGGTGTTGCAGAGAACATAAGTTTAATTGATAGAAAAGCAGGTCAGATGTGTCTGATGTCTCTAACAAAGGCAGTAAGTTGCTTGAAAAACCCTATTGTCCCTCTAAAGTTTTCATCTTTCCTCAGACAAAGAAGTGCAAAATCCTGTCAGTATAATTAGTTTAAAAATTACATTATGACAATTAAATTGATTATGCATTTTGTTTCTACTGTACGGCACAAAAATTAAAATTAACAGCATATAAGAATAAAGAGCCAGCATATATATATATATATATATATATATATATATATATATATATATATATATATATATATATATATATATATATATATATATATATATATATATATATATATATATATATATATATATATATATATATATATATATATATATATCAGTTGGCTTTAGAAATTGAAAGTGCCAGATCTGAGATCATTTAAATAATAAATTCAACAGGGGTGCATCTATATTCGAAATTGTTGTTCGTTCTTGTGGCAATCCTTTGGCCTTGCTAAATAAACAACCCATTAAGTCAAGATCCGAAGAAAGGCAATATTTTAATGCAGTAATGAAGTGTATCAAATATCTTAAGGAATAATTTAAATTTTATAAAAATTAGTAAATGATTTAGTGTAGTTTGCGATGAGTATACTGACAAATAAAAAACAGTTATCTTTTTGCATATATAAACAAAAATCTTTGTGTAAGTAAGGATTTTTCAGGGTATTATGAGCTTCTAGATATTTAAAGCAGTACAATTGTTTCAGTGATGAAAGATTCCTTGGTCAGATTTGAGTTACTGATTTAAAGCCTCCAAGGACATTAATGGAGCAAGTAATATAATGGGGAAGATGAATGGAGCACCACAACAGATTTTAAAAGAACAATCAAAATCCCTTGTTATTTACTTTCAAGTTTATCAATAAAAGATGCAAATAAACTATGCAAAACTTTCAATGAAATTATGGGAACCGTATGGGAGATTATAGTTCTCATTAAATTTTCCCCTAATGAGAAAGAATGCTTGGACAAAATAATGAAAATATAAGAGTATTAAATGATGACAATGATGTTTTAGATAGAACAAGTTCTCTATCAAAACTATCAGTTACTTGTTGGACATTTCGTGTAACTGTTTGTAACAAGGTGCGTTTTTTTTACAAATCCAATTAACAAGAAAAGTATAAAACTTAAATAAAGAAAATTAAGCACTTAAATTTATAATAAATAGAAAAGATATATTAGCTCATATTATGGCTTCCTAAATCAGGTATACTTAATTTTGAACAAGTTCTTGTACAGGCTTTACAGAACTACATGCAACTGATAAAAGTTTGGGGTAGCTGTCTTGATAAAAACATAGAAGTTGATGTAAAATCAATACGGTTGAACAAATAAGAAAGTCAAGATCTACTCGTTCAACCAATACGGTTGAACAAATGAGATCATAAAATCAAGCTGCACTTTTTATAAAATAAAATTTAAGGCTGAAAAATATCACTATGTTTATTTGCCATCTATTTCAAGGAAACTAAAAATGCTAAACTACAAAACGTGGGAGCTATATTTTAACGTAGATTGATCAAAAGTTAAAGCTCATCACCCATTATGCCTAAAGGAACATTGTTTTGATATATTTTGAGACTTTTAATTCCATTATTTCAGTATTCAAGCAATCAAAGATAGATTTCACCAAACTAGTTTTGAAGGTTATCTGACGATGGAGTCATTTTTACTTAAAACAATTATAGGAAACTGTTTTAGGTAAAAAATAAAATTATTGAGTGAAATGTTAAGGGATAATAACCTTGAGATTGATTTTATAGTGTTAGAAGTTAAAATATATAAAATAATTTTTTCTAACTCGAAACCAACTTGTTTTAAAGACATATTTAAAGAGATTTAATCACTTTCAGAATGCTAAAAAAACATGATTTCAAATGTCATTGTTATTTGTGACCTTTTCATTGTCATTCCTGTGAGCTTTGACTATATAGCTGATATCTCAAAAGCGAAGTTTTCACTACCAATGACAAATGCTTCACATCGTAAAAATTCTTGAGCAATTAAAAGAGAGTTTTTTAGCCTTCATTTTTCCGTGATATCTATCCCTTAATACCCTATCACGGTCACTTAATGTTGATGGATGTTTGGGACTTTTTTTTATTTCATACGTATCAGAACTATTAATGTAGTTTCTAATCAGTTCAGCTGCGTCCAATAGGCCGGGTGAATAAAAATGAGCAATTGCTTTTACTTAGTAATTGGTCAGCTTTACGTGAGTAAAAACTTTAGCAGTTTTGCTCAAATTTTTATTCACGTAAAGTTAAGCAATTTATTTAGTAATTGTTCAGCTTTACGTAAATAAAAATATAGCTCAAATTTTTTAATTTTTTATTCACGTAAAGCTGACCAATTAATGAGTAAAAGCAATTGCTCGTTTTTGTTTACCCGGCCTAATGTCTTTAGCCATACAAATATATATATGTATACAAATATATATATATATGTATACACTTACTAAAGCGTGTTTTGATAAGCATTTGCTCACTTTTTCCGCTTACCTTAAGCTATACCGCTTTTTTCGAAAAAGAAGAAGAAAAAACGAAGAATGATGAATGAAACGATTACTTCCCCATCCCAAACCCTCCGTCGATGTAGCAGCACTCCATTGCGAGTCAAGCTATTTGTCAGTCGATGTATGTACTGAAGCCCCCAGCAGCAGGCTATTTCAGTATGACGTCAGATTGCTTGCCTTAGTACGCAATACTATTTGTATACATATATATATATATATATATATATATATATATATATATATATATATATATATATATAATAATTTTAACATTATAACTTATAAAGTAATTTTAATATTATAACAACACTTGGACCATATAGGAATAATGAAGTTTTAAAAAATTTATTTTTAATTTACCTACACTTTTATGTAAACACAACAGACGATTATTTAACTATAAACTGTTTGAATTGTAAAATTTATTTTAAGTTTTTTTATTAAGTATATATTAACAAACTAATTAATGATGAGTCGTGCTGCACAATTGAATTCGAATTAGAAAAAAATATACTATCTAATTTAGCAAAAATAGGTCATACCATATATATATATATATATATATATATATATATATATATATATATATATATATATATATATATATATATATATATATATATATATATATAGAATGTTTTATTTTCATTATTTTTTTAATGTTTAGTTTCATAAAAAAATAGAGTTGGACAAACTTAATCGCCGGTCTCAGCTATCTAATATTCAATGTTACCAGAAATGCCAAATGGTATTGAGGCTTACTTTCCGAGTGTTTATCATTTATAAAATAAATTTTTATGTTGAAGTAGATTACTGTTTTAAATAAGTTTTTTAAGAACTTTTTTAAACATATTAACAAATGTTGTTTTTAATTTGTTTTGATTTAAATATATTCACAGAACAATAAAGCATCTGATAACAAACGTGAGATCGAAAATAACTTAAACCTCGACAAACAGTACGAAGAATCTTTTATCAAAGAAGAAGAATTATTTCAGGACTACGCTCAAAAAGTTATCGAAGATGCAAAAAATGCTGGTAGAAATCCGATTAATCTTATAAAAGCTGCAAATGAAGGGTCAGGAGGTGGAAGAGGTCCAAAATTTGACAACAAATCTGGCTTAAGACCTAGTTACATAGTTGCTGATGCTACTGGTGTTCAGTTACCGCATTACTTTAAAGATCCCGCTGTTTATAATCTTTCGCACGGACATGTTGGCACTTCTGGTAAACGTTTAGGGTTTACTTGGTAATTTTGAAGCAGTATCATTTTTATTATATTAAATTAATGCTTAGATGCGTTATATAATGTGAGATACGTGTTATGCAATCTGTGATGTGAATTTTTTTATCTAAATATTTTAAAGTATTTTATAGGTAATGATATATAAAGTATTTTATATATACAAAACCTTTTTTTTTCTAAAAAAGTATTTTATTAAGAGCTGAAATGTTATGTTCCTAAAGAAAAATAATATTTTCATTCGGTTTTTTATTTAGCTTCAAAAGCTTTAAAGTTTTTTAAATTTTTATTAATTTATTATTGTTATGAAACTTTTTTAAAATTTATCAGCCAAACACCATTACGAAATCCTTAACTCGTTATAATTTCGAGATAATGCTCACATAAACTATTTTTGCATCGTGCTTTTTTTTAAATTTAAAGCTTTCTAAATTACATATAATTTTTTTTTTTCCTTTGTTTAAGAAAAACGGAATATTTTTTATTCTTGACATGTTTATTAGTTTCAATCTACAGAAGATTTAATTTACAACTTAAACTCTAGTATATAAAATTTTATTGAAATATTAACGAAAAAATAAACTTGTTACAAATTAAAAATTCTATCACAAATTAAGACACCTTAAATAACCAAAAGAAAAAGTATAGATAATAGTCGGCAAATGGAAACTTGTAAAAATCATTAGACTTGATTAGGTTGAAATGAAAGCGAAAATCGCTCTTTTACGCAACAGCAGTTAATTTATTACAACAGTAATAATTTATTACAACTAATAAATCAAAGAGAGTTTTTGCATAAAAAGTTCCGATTCTGTTTAAATCTTTTTTCATAAGTTTCTTAAATACACTATGGAATTTTTATTTTGCTGCCCGTTTTTTTTTTGCCAACACTTATATCGGTAAATTTTTATTTTGCCCACACTCATTTCGGAGAAACCTTTGCAACAAGGAAAAATAAACACCTTGTCAGTGACAAAAAAATTCTTCATCTAATTTTTTTAAATAGGACTAATTACGATTTTTTATTACGAGTTTTATATCGGTAAAGAAGTCGGGGTGAACTTCCTTTCAAATGGTCTTCCACGGTGCTCTGTGATAAGACCGTAAAGACTTCTTCAGGCACCTAAAATAAAACATATTTTTCCTAAATTTACTAAAAATTTGCACATAAAAGAAAGATTTATAACTGTCATTCAAATAATATTATTGTTTTACAACTGGTCAAACAAGTAAAGATAGCAATAATAGATCATCTTATAACTGTACGTGTCCCATGATCAACAGCTTAGTGAATTTTAGTCTTAAGCGAGCAAAGTAGACTTTCAAAGTATTTTGGACTGAAATCTCGTAACTTAAGTTGAATTCTCTTTTTCACGTAGTTAAGATTTTTTTCTTTGAAAATATTAAAATAATTTCCCTGTTTTAGGTGAGCCTAAAATGTCTCAATGGGCCTTAATTGCGGTACATTTGGTGGATTATCATGCTTAGAAACATAGGTTATATTAAAGCTCTTATAAGTTTCAATTGTTAGCTTTGCACAATGACAGTTTTAATAATATTATAAATTGATTGCCTTGGAACTTTCGCTTGCAAGGCGAAATGATGTACTGTAGATGTTTTCCCATTGTCTATATTATCTAAATAAAAGTTTCTAATAAGCTTTCGTTTGTCGTTTTCTTTAATTCCATCCATTTTATTTACATAATTTTAATTGGCAAAATCAGTATGAGATTATGAAATAAGAAAGTCTAGTAAATACATTTACTTCGAGCTGCAGAAATATTCGAATTTGTTCGCGAGTTTCGAAAGAAAGAGTTTAGTAGCCTCTTGTTAAAAAAGATAACTTTTGATTTTTGTTAAAATCGTTTATTTTATATTCAAACTTATATTCAAAAATCACGTCGATTTACTCTTTAAGCATATCAATAATAAACATAGTTCTATTACTTTTACAATGGAAAAAGAAGTTTAGTAAAATATATTTTTTTTGAACCTAACTCTAAATAAAACAAGCAACTCCACTATTACCACTTTTTCATATTGCTATTCATTAATATGTAATTAAAATCTATCATAATGGAAACTAACATAATGATTGATATATAGAAATGATATTAAAGAACACTCCTGGTATAAACGACAAGGAAATTAAGGGATTTAAACTGCCAACAAAGAAACAAGTAGTTCTTTGTTTGCTTGCAACCCCTGAGCATTTAACCTTTAATAATGCATCTCTTACAACTAAAAATGTTCTGAGGCATTATACAAAGACAAATATCCTTATAATATGTGGGAAAAAAAAACATTGGCAAATTAATCAAGGTGGCAAATGATGAATTTATGAATTTAATGAAATGCAACATAAACCGAAGAATTTGGTTAACTCGAGAATTTAGAAATATATGTCAACATTAAACTGAGGCTTGAATTTGAGGCTGAGCTGCTAGACACAGCTCAGCCTGCTTTGAAATTGAAAAGCAACGCAGAATATCAAATTAAATCTGATATTCTCAAGAATCCAAATGTTGTTGCCTGAAGCGTGAGAAATAACGTTAGTATTACTAAGAAAAACCTTTCCGTGCGTATGATATTTTCTGTTTGCGGAGGAGATATTTCAAAGACAAATTTAAGTTTCAGCTCAGCCCATCGATATCGAAAATCAGTTCTACCCCATAAAAAAAAAAATAAAAGATAAACGGAGTTTGTCTCCAAAAGTAGTGGTACATCATCACGGAAAAAATGATGGCTACTCTGGATTCAAAAGACAATGATGACTGTCTATTACTTTTGGTATGTGGGTCAATGGAGCTAAGTTTCTTGGTGTATTACTCCTTCCGAGTTTAACCACAAAAACTTGTCTGAAACATTGTCTCTGTTGCAACATAAATTTTACTCATTTTACTCATTTACTCAGACTTTAATAAAGCAATTTTTCAAATTGAGATTTAAAAAGTTTGGCAAATGTTGAAAAGACAATAGTTTCTTGTTTTAAATCACATCATTTTCTAGAAACACCCGGTTAAAGCTACATCATGCTACAATTATTTTTGAAACTAAATCAAATTACGGACTCACAACAAAATTCACTTGTGAAAATATGAAAATTGTCACACTTTTAAACCAAAATGAATAACAGTAATTAAAACTCTTAAAAGTACCAATTAGTTAGATTTTCAACTGCATATACTATGAAGTAAGTGCATATGCTTAAGAATATACTTTTGAAGTAACTGCATATGCAGTTACTTCAAAAGCATATTCTAGGCGAAGTTTTATGTGTTTACAAGTTACATTTTAAAAAGAACATATGTTATATGTCCAACTCAATGATATATTATATAACTAGATGTCTAACTTCATTATGAAAAGTAAAGCCGCTTTTTGCCCGTTTTAAAATTGGCGGATTAAGTTTCTAAACAAATGTTTTTAACTTTTCTTTTCTTAAATGAAGTAAATATATTTTAAGTTTAAATACTATTTACGTAAAAGTGTTTAGCAAAAATTATAATACTTGTAAAATAAAAATTTATGATTCCTTAATTTATTATCGAATTAAAAGGGATTAAAGTTTTGAATAGAAAATACAACTTGATACAATGCTTCAATTGCTATCGGCTAAACTAGCCTTAATTTCTGCTATTAGTGCTGGAACATGATACGTAGAAACTATGCAGAGAAAAACCAAACCGTATATACCACCATGTGGGACTTGCTTCCTAAATTTCAACAGACTACTTCTCCTGTTTTAGACCAAAAGTGCACTTGCTTACTTTTACCGTGACAGGGCAGTATACAAATACTCGTCAATAATTACAAATAAGTAAATAATTTAAAGCATTTATTTAAATAAATTACAAACAATTTACAGATCTATTTAAATGCAAAAACGTATAAAAAGAATATAACTACATTTAACTAATTTATAAAAATCTTTTTATTAGAAACGATTTAAAAAAGTTTATTCTTCTATTTTGATTTCAAGTTGGAGTGGAGCCTGAACTTGGCTTCGTGGGGCTTCGATTGCTAACTTAAAGTCTTTAGTATAACGAGAACTTAATTGAGACGGATCGACATCATGTGGTAAAGAAATGTTTCTGGTAAACTGCTTGTGGTGGAAACTCAAACCGTGTTCGCCACTGTTTTCAATTTTGGTTTCACCATGAACAATTAAATCTCTACCTTTTACTTGAATCGAAATTTCTTCTGGATTGAAACCTTTTACATCTAAAGTGCATTTAAATGTCTCTTTTGTTGATTCTCCAGAATCAGACGTTATAGGTAGCTTTTTAGGAGCTTCTATATGCAAAATACCATCTTGACTAATGCTTGAAGTAAGAGCTGTAGGATCTACGTCATCTGGGATAGTATATTTTCGATGGAATTCACTGCACTCAAATCCATTTTCATTTTCATTACGATGCTTTCCACTTACTTCAAGAGTTTGTCCTAAACAACAAGAAATAAAAATTATATACAGTTAGCGAAACTATTGACACGCTTTTTAGATCTTATCATTATTTTATATAAACAAATCCGTATTTTAATTTTAAGTTAGGGGGAAAGTGTTACGATTAAGACGAGAGTCGTTATCCGAAGCAAAAAAGAAAAATCTAAAAAGAATAGTTAATAACTTTAGTTAAACTTATTCCTAATATTATATTTTAAAATGATCTAACTTAAAGATTTAAAATTTTGATATCAAAAAAACTTTCTTACGATTAAAAAAACGTACTTTTATTCTGATCGCTCAAACTAAATGTATATATCTTAGCTTAACGGAGAACAGAATAATAATGGGAAGAAATATTAAATACGTATTTAAGTATATATTAATAGCAAGTGCTAATTTATTAAAGCTATTTGATTTCATGTTTCTCTCTTTGAAAGCAGCATTTTTAACTGTTGTTTTGTAAAACCTCTTTGACAACATTCTCAAGTTAGGCATAATCTCTCAGTTCATATAACAATTATTATGATGAGCAACATAAAATAAACAAACAGCAAATAAATAACGGATAATGCAAAATGGATTTTGATGTAACATTATAACTTTTCACATTTGTATTAAATAGTTTTAAATTTAAATACCTTCTACTTTTAGAATTACTTCCTCTGGTTTGTAGTGCTTGACATTAAGATTTACATTGAACCCGTTTTCCTTGTTAGAAGTCTTTCGTAAGAGCGTCCGCTCCAACATTAAATAATGGATAATATCTCAGGGGAGGAAAAGTAATTTCCATTATATCTTCCAAAATTGGATTGCAAGTAAAATGTTTATGAACAGGAATGTGCCACAAAGACATTTTTTTCTTCTTCTTAATAAACAAAAGTAAAGAAACTTTAAATGAAAACTTTAAAAATAAGCTTAAATATTAAATACATTTGTTAAACCCTGTTGCATTATAAACAAGTTATTTCAGATCTGATTGTTGCATTTGTAGATAAAGGACGAAATGCAACAGTGCCCTCCCACTCCGTGTAAAGAAACAGGCAATGATTTGCTCTACTCTCTAATAACGTAAATCATCATATACAACTAGTGTAAAGATTTTACTATAAGAATACAATTAGAATGTTCTGGCCATTTTTCAAAGATTTTAAAAAAATCTTTGAAAAATAATCTTTGATTTTAGATTGCTAAACAAAAAAGATCTTGAACTCAAACATAACCCTAAGCGTTGCGCCTCAAAAAACATTTGGTTAACGAGGTTTCTGAAATAACTGATTCAAATACAATAATATGTTCATTGATATTATTCTAAACAAGAACAGCAGTAGATATGTAATAAATGTAACTTAAAATCCTCGAAAAGGTATTAAGCATTGCAAAAACAACAAAAAAAGCTATGTAAAAAAATAATAATAATAATGATAATAATAATAATAACCACCTTGCTGCATCATGGTTCTTACCTATTCTGTATAGTTCTCTTCTCTTGAATACTGTTTATCTGCTTGCTTGCGTTTTATAATCATTAAAGCCAAATGTTGAAATTTATATCTTTTTTTAAATAACATCTATAAGTATTCTGCTATTTTAAGAAACATCCAGAAAGATTAGCAGCATTCTGCAACTTTCTAAGAACTGCTTACTCCGTCGTTGTGCTATTTAAACGCGGGAGTCTGAGACTAGTCAAAATAAACAAACAAAACCTGAGTGCGGAAAAATATTCATAAGGGCTGCTTTGTTTAGAAAAGTTAAATTAAATTTGGGAAACTTTTTCTACCTTTTATATATTACTAGTTATTTATTATAAGCCATACTGTTTAACCTATAGCCAATAATATAAATGGCCATAGGATTTTTTTTTTTTTTTTAATACTTAGAGGTTGCGCTCTTCTGAATTAATTATAGTTTTTAAAATCTCAAAGGACAAACATGGAAAGCCATTCATAAGGTATCGTTTACCTTAAAATAGCGTCACTTAAAATCAATATATCAATATCAGTTTTTGAAGATTGACATCTTTTGTTGGAAATTATGCAAAATAATTTACAATCAGTAATACTTTTATGCTTCATTAACAAGCAGCATTTTGTAGTATATTTTAATTGTAGTGAAAATGTTTTGAATTGGCTGTGTAAAAAATATTTCTTCTTCACTGTTACAGAGACACTCAAAAGCTGGGCTTTATAATATCGGCAAATAAATATAAAATATTAGACATTAAAGATGGAAGTGCTGCTCCACCGATAATTTTTAAAAAATCTGGTTATGTCAGAGATACTAAAACTAGATTCAAAATATGTTTTGGTGACTTAGACAGTAATAATATTATTTAAAACATTGTGCAATTAATTTTGTTTTTAAGATCAAGGCTCCAATAACAGTAGCTTTTTTTAAAAAACATCATTTGATACAAATATGAAGAAAAATCATAACGTTTGCACTTGAAATGACCTTATAGAGCAACTAAAATTACTTTACAATAACTCAAGTGTTAGCTTATTTTTCGCTGCCAGTAAAAAAAATTAAATCGGATTTAGACAATTAAATGTACGAGGGTTTCAGAAGTTGTAATAGTTTTATCTATAAAGTTATATAAACTGCCCTAAAAAGTTATGAAAACCCCTTACGCTGCAACGTGCCAACGTTGGCAACGTAGGGGGTTTTCCTCATTGAACGGTGTGTTTGCAGCACTTTCAACAGCAAGTATTAGTATTGAAATGAAGTCTTCAAGCCTAATTTATCAAAACTAATAGCTCCAGGATGTTACACAGGATATGGTTGTAACGACATGAATAAATCATATATCAAATGGTCGGTTTATAAATTAAATTATTATAACAAGTTGGTCAAAAGTTAAGGGCTAAGATAATAAAGAAAAATGACAAAACCTTTAAGAAAGAAAGTAAAACATTAAAGCAGGAGGTTTTTAATTTTAAATATAGTCGAATATATAATGTTACGTATATTTGTAAATTTTTTATTATTTTGTTTCAGTTTTTATGCGGTTTCTCAGTTTAAAGTTTTTCAATATGCCAGCCAAAAATCGAAGAGAACCGCTGGAACGTTTTAACTGAAATTTCAATAAAAATTTTTTTATTAAGAGCTGTGTTTTAAGTGGAACAAATTTTTGAAATACAACAGTATGACTAATTTAATTTTTCAAAAAATGCACTTTTTTCTATTGTCAACTTAAGTTAAGCAATGCAAAATGAAACTTTGACTTTTATAGCATTTGATATACTACCAGGTAGGTTGTTTAGTTTAAAAACAATCGGGTTTGTAAAAACTGACTCCGAAGCTAACAGTTTTTAATATTATTTCTCACCTAAGTTAAGAGAAGGTTTTTTAGGAACGAGCTGGAATACCTATTTTCGTTAAAACCGAAATTTTTTAAACAGCAAAATCTTGTATTAAAGTACAATATAGCGGCGTTTGTTAAAAAAATCAAAAAGAAACTTTTTAGGGTAAGTTATATATGTGTCGAAAACAGAATGAAGTTAAAAAAAATTAGAATGGACTTAAAAAGTGTTGATTATGAAGATTTTTAAACATATGATAACTTATAAATATATAATTGTATAAGAGCAAATACGCGGACTGTTTACCCGAATCTCTTAAAATTAAAAAAAGAAAAAGATTCAAGAATCTTATAGGTACTTAGATATAAAAAGCTAACAAAATATCAAAATTATTTTTAAAATATTAATGCAACGAATTGTTAATTTTTAAAAAAGTCAATGAAATAAACCTTCAAAACAAAAACCATTGCTATCGAAGAAAAAAAAGTCGACTTTTCATTAAAAATTTGATTAGTTCAAAAATTAGAAACACTAAATCCAAAAAAAATCAAAATTCTGGGAAAGCAATTATTGATTTTTTTATTTTACATAAATATGCGCTGTATATCCCCACACGTGCATCGGAGATGCTTATATTTTTGATATAAGTTTTATTCGAGCAACTGGTATGGTTTTTTAAGAAAAAAAACTTTATTTGAAAAGATTTGAAACCATTCATTAAAGTTTTATTTAAACTGCTTAGAAATTTGTATTGAAATAAAAAGTTATGATAAATAACGAAAAAGCTTCGTTATCTTAACTTTTTCAAACTTGGTTTAATTTGTGTATTAAAAACTTGTTTAAATACGTCACAGCACATATGTTTGCTTTTTTTTAATCATAACTTAAATTAGAAAAAGAAAGAGAGCAATGGAATGGTTGGCTACATTTCTCTCTCTATGGCATCGCGGTTTTTGACCTGTGACTTTTCTGATTCTGCAATTTTTAAAGCAAAACTTAATTTCATAAGTTTTGATATTTTAGTCTTATTTTTTAAAAATAATTTATGTCATAAAGTAACAAATTGTTTAAAAACAATGGCTTGCGAAATGGTGCTGTAACATTAAAAAAAAAAAAAAAAAAAAAAATAACTCAACTAATTTTTTTTCCAATGACAGACTTTTCTTAAAATCGTTAGAAATATAGTAAAAATGAAATCAATAGAAATAGCACTTTGATTTTATCTTGTCAAAATTAAATGTAATACGTTTTTAGCAGTGTCATTTTAAATCTTATTTTATCTACAGTAGTTTATCTACAGTAGTTTTATTTTACAGTATTTTTTGGTGATTGAGACCAAAATCCAAAAATATGTAGGTTTATACTTGTGTCATATAATTATGCTTCTCAAAAAGTTGCAATGATTGGAGGCTGGGAACAAAAAAGCCCTAAAATATTATCCCCCCTGCCTAAATGTGGGAGCAGCAAGTTGATGAAATGATTTTTTTGCTATTCTTAGCTAAATTTATAAACAACGATAGATTTTAAGTATTGTTTTACAATCTCTGAGGGTTCTTCACGGAAACGGGGATGAAATTATCGCAATATTTTGCAAAGCCTCGATATTTAACATTATAGTATAAACATACAAATGTTTGGAGTTTGCGCAATGTCTGTTAGCTATTGCAAACAACAAAAAATGCTGGATCTTTCACTGATCAATGCCTACTTAAGGCTTTTTTTTTTGACATAAAGCAAGCATAAACTTTCAATGCTCTTCTGTGGTGCTCTTTGATGCAACCATTAGGTCTTCTTGAAGCACCAAAAAAAATCACAGAAAAAATATGTATACATATATTTTTGAATCACATTGATACGTTTGATTTAGTTTTGTTTACACTATAGATCGAAAGTCCTTTACCCAACCTTTTAAGGAAACCATTTTGGATTTAGATTTGTTTGATCCAAGGCTCCAGTAATATTATTTTTTAAAAAAACATCATTTGATACCAAAATGAGGTAAAAATCATAAAATTTCTCGTATGACTGAGAAAAAGCTCAAAGATCAACAAAAAATCATTTTACAATAGCCAAAGTGTTAATTTATCTATCGCAATCAATGAAAGATAGGTAGAACATGTTTCTTAAATTATTAAGCATAGTGGTTTTTTCGGTACAGGAACACATTAAGAAAATATCGTTGAACAAATTAACTGGATTTGATATCAGAATAAATTAGCGCCAATGGTTCGAAATTGCTCTAAATTTAATCAAAAATTATAAAAAGCGTAACTTCGAACAATCGGCGGGAATATTTCGTTCAAGAAAAAATAAAAAATAAAAATATTTTTTATCTAAATATGACCTCTACAGGGGCGGATCCAGGATTTTTCGGTATTTGAGTTATATAATTTCCAGGTAAGTTCTAAACTCCAAACTTTTATATTTTCATTTAAGGATGATTTTCAAAAAATTGCGCTGATTAGAGCCTGGGAACAAAAAAAAAACCTAAAAAGTAGGCATCACCCGCCCAAATGTGGGTTAATCGTTTTTTCTAAATATAAATTCTAATATCCTAAATTAGGTGGTGATATTGTTAAGGTAATATTTTTTAGGTTCTTTTTCGAAAAATTTTATGTTGTTTAGGAATTATACCCAGTTTAAATTTACGACCCCCTCGTTTTGATGGGGTTCTAAACTTTAAATTTATAACTTTTGAACGCTAGATGATTTTTGATCAAACTTTAAATATAGTAAAATTTAAATAACACATTTAAATTTTATTAAAGGAAGTAACTTTTTTTTTCGAAAAATCATTTTCCCTCTCATTTGGGCGGGCGATGCCTACTATTTAGGGTATTTTTGTTTCAGGCTCTAATCAACGCAATTTTCGGCAAAGCATTCTTAAATGACATAAGTATGATCATAAAAAAGTTTGCAGCTTAGAACTTACCTGAAAGTTATTTAACTCAAGCACCAAAAAATCTTGGATCCACCCATGCTCTACGCCGCTCATTTGGGTTGCCAGATGTCCGGCTTTTACGTGGGAGAACACAGTTAAAAAATTTATTTTTTACAAGTTTGGCACTGTATTCTCCTCCGTTAAAGCCGGACGTCTGACAACGCTACACTGCACATAAAAATTGGTTGTCGAAAAAAAATTATGGGATTTGCTTTTGAATCTTTGTATTACTTTTCACTTATCTCTTATTATATCTTTTGTCTTAATATTTTATTCTATAAATTTATTGAACAAAAAAATCTTTGTTTCTTCCGGCGTAAAATAATATCTCTTATTTTTTTTCGTTCTCGTCCGTAGAGGCTTTTTTGATTTCTTTTTTGTTATATTTATAAAATGTTTAGAAAACGTTTCTTTTAATAGTATTTTAAGCTATATTTACTTAAGAAATAATGATTACTAGTTAATTTGTTTTAGTTAAAATGTTTTCAATTTCACTTCAACACCTTAAAGTTTATTCAAGTTAATAAATTAAACTGTTTTACGCAGAGTCATTGCATAAAAAACTAATTAGGGGTTATTGCATAAATAACTAATTAGTGGTCGTCCATAAAATACGTATGCTCATAGAGGGGAGGGGGAGGTCTTCAAAAGGCGTACGAAAGCGTATGGGAGAAGGGGGAGGGGGGGGGAAGGGTGGGGAAGGGTTCAATTTTAAAAGTACGTACATCGATTTTCTAATTTATCACAATTAACCAGCAAATCAATAGAAAAGTTTACATTATTTTTC